CTTAAACAGGACTCCCCACCCCCCACCCCACCACCACCCTTGGATCCATGTGTAATTATAGTTACCAGCACAAAACTGGAATTCCCTAACAAGGAGGAAGGGGTAGATGGACTTTGAGTCGGCAACCAATTCTCCACTAAACTGCCTTGTCCACTAACAACCAAGTCATCCTGAATGGTCAAATTGAGTTTATTTATTTATTTTTTTTAAGATTTTATTTATTCATGAAAGACAGAGAGAAAGAGAGAGAGAGAGAGAGAGAGAGAGGCAGAGGGAGAAGCAGGTTCCTAAGGAGCAGGGAGCCCGATGCGGGACTCAATCCCAGGACCCTGGGATCATGACCTGAGCCGAAGGCAGACACTTAACCATCTTAGCCACCCAGACGCCCTGGTCAAATTGAGTTTAAAGGAGCATTTCCCCTCATAGTTTACTCAAACTTTTGAGAGAAATGTATTAGTAGAACACAAGAAGTTGTCTGATGTTAAGTTTTCACAGAAGAAAACAGTCAGCAGATGTTCAGAGAACTGTTCCCTGAAGAGTGGTCCTTCTGGAGATCCTACGGGAGATCTGAATCTGGAAGCATTCACCGGCAAGTACCGGACCACCTAACTACAGTGCTTAAGCAATAAATGTATTTTACCTCCTGTCATGAAGTCTGGAGGTTGAAAGTTCCAGATCTGAGACTGTGGCTCAGTAATACTTGGGAGAAGTGTGACTTGTTCTATTTTTCAGCTCTTTATCCTTCTCATCCTTAGGTATATGATATCTCATGGTAGCTTCAAGCATTCCATCACGGCACTGCACTGGTCAAGCCAGGATAGAAGGTAGCAGGCCTTCTCACCGTCTGTCAGGAAGTCTTTTTCCCAGAAGCTCCCACACACACTTCCTCTTATATCCCATTAGTCACATGCCCACTTGTAAGGCAGTTGCCATTGAGGGGGAATAGCATATCACGCCTGGCTTTGACCAGTCTTATTTCAGGCTCTAGCAACTGAGGGAGAAGCCCACCTTCCTTAACATACTGCCCAAGCAAAATCACAGTTCCGTAAACTAGGGGAAAATGGAGAATGGCTACAGGACAGACAAACAAGTAGTGTCTGCCTAAGGTCAACTTGGCAGTATGTGTCCAAAGCCTAGATCATGCCTCTGTTCTATTTTAATAGATATTAGGAAAGGATTAATTTCAAGCTCAGTGCTTTTCAAACTATACGTGGTTTAATTTTTTCCAATTAACAACCACTACTAGGAAGATGGGAAAAATTCAGTTTAAAAAACACATATACTCTACAAGCCCAAAGTTTATATTGCATTAAAAGGCCAGAATTCCCTCTGTCAAATTGCTATAAAAAATGTCTCAGTTCTCTCAGTTTCTGTCCTGATCTCATCATGGACCAGTAACAGCTCACAGACAGTCGTCTTTCACAGCCGTATTCGGAGAGCCAGGTCAGCCTGCTGACTTCATAACCTGGCCTGGCTTGCCTCTCCTGCCTCAAGTCCTGCTGCTCCTTTTCTTTTCTTTTCTTTTTTTTCTTTTTATTTATTTGACAGAAAGAGAGACAGCGAGAGAGGGAACACAAGCAGGGGGAGTGGGAGAGGGAGAAGCAGGCTTCCTGCCGAGGAGGGAGCCCGACGTGGGGCTCAATCCCAGGACCCTGGGATCATAACCTGAGCGAAGGCAGACGCTTAACCGGCTGAGCCACCCAGGCGCCCCCTACTGCTCCTTTTCATTCACCCACAGCAGGCTATGCTCTGTCGTGTATTTTTGTTTTACTTCTGGGCTTGACTTCACATTCTGTTCTCCTTTCCTGGAATGCCCTTCTAGTTGGGGAACACCTCATCATCTTTTTAGGCCAGCTTAAATGTCACCTTCCCTGTGATGTTTTTTCTGAATTCTTTCTCCCGGATCAGTGCCTCCTTTGACCCCCAAATATATTTATTTTATTGGATTGCAATTATTTCTGGGTCAGTCTCCCTCATTAGACCAACAGTTCCTTGAAAGTGACAATTGTCTTGCTCATCTTTATATCCCCTGTGCTTGGCGCACATACTTTGCCTAAATAAATGCTTATTGAATTGAATCAACTCAACAAATGATGTGACGATGTGACTTCTCTGTTTCCTTTTATTCTCCCCCAGTATTTTCTACTGTGCTTCTACCTGCATGTTTGTGGATCTCCTTATAAGAACATACCACTCTGGGGCGCCTGGCTGGCTCAGTCGGTAGAGCATGCAACTCTTGATTTCAGGGTCATGTTGGGTATAGAGATTACTTTAAAAATTGATTGGTTGATTGATTGATTTTTTAAAAAGAACATACCATTTTTACACAATTTTTTTTCCTGTTCTAGCAAATGTGGTTTTAAAAACAAGATACAACTTGGCATTGTTATATTCCCATCACAGGTCCCATCCTTAAGGCATCAATGTCATTGTCATTGCAGGTAGCCTGGGGGGTTTTATGCACTGGTGATGCCATCCCCCCACCCCCACCAGCAGAGTCAAATCCCCTGGAGCAATAAAGGAACCTGTATATGGGTACATATAAACTCCCGAGGGTACCTAGCAAGGTGGGACAACACAGAGAACATACAATTTAAATGACCTACGCTTTAGTTCACATACTAGCTCTGTGACCTTCCTTAACCTTTCTGAGTTTGTTTCTTCCATTGAAAAGAAAAAAAGGTACCGTAGGATGACGAGGAAACAGTTAGCTGCTTGAAAAATGCTAGCATCCTCAGATGAGCACGTATGTGGATTGACAAAGAAGGGAGGCTGAGAATAACAGTCAGTGGGTCTGCCTGTCTCTTTAACGGGTCAGGGCCGGCCCATTCGTCAGGCTTGTTGAGAAAGAGGACCTGCTTTGAAATTCTATCTTGGGCAGAGCCTTGGTTGCTTCTCCTTTCCTGCTTCTGATTTCCTGGCTCACAGCTAGCAGGAATAGCCACTCTGGCAGCTCTGGGTGCATGACTAAGGTGGAGGGATGAACAGCTGCTGCTTGCTCAAGTCAGTGGGTTGGTTGGGAGGCAGGCAGGTGACATAAAAGCAACATATGGAAATCCCCAAACTCTACTGCTCAAATGACATCCCAATCATTGCTGTGAGGAAGACTGGGGGCAGGGTCTTTCCTTCTCTAGGCGCTCCAGCTCTTTACCACCAATTTTCACCCCCTCAACTTTCACCCCAACCAACACATCTGTTGGTCAGTTGATTTTAATTTTTAAAAAAAGAGGGCTCCTGGGTGGCTCAGTCGGTTAAGCATCAGCTTTGGGCTCGGGTCATGATCTCAGGGTCCTGGGATTGAGCCCTGCATCGCATGGCATTGCATTGCATCAGGCTCCCTGCTCAGCGGGGAGTCTTCTTCTCCCTCTCCCTCTGCAACCCCCTCCATGCTCGCCTCCTTGCTCTCTCCCTCTCTCTCTTAAATAAATAAATAAAATCTTAAAAAGAAAAAGAAAAAACTGGCTTCCTTCAACATGCCTTGCATTTTCACAACTCTGTGGTTATGCTTCTGCCGTTCTCACCAGTAAAAATGCTCTTCTCCCTCTACCTACCTGGTTCGTTCAATGCCTACACCTCAAATCCAGTGTTAGCTCTTACGTCTTCCCTCCTGTACACCACTCTTCCTTCCAGGCAGCCACCTCTCCTTAAGCTTAACTCAGTTACTGTGCTTCACACACTGAATTGCCATTGTTTTTTGAAGTATCTTTCCCTTGATAGAGTGAAAGCTCTTAGGAAATCTGATTCTCTAAGTGCTTGGCTCATAGTAAGCACCAGTAAATATTTGTTGAGTTGAAACTTCTACTCCTCGGCATATTTGCCAATTTCTAATTTCTCACTGATTTTAGTTAGGTTATCAGCAGTATAATAAAAGTCCCTATGGATTGAGTACTCAAATAGTTCTAGATGGTTTACTGAGTACCTGTCCCCCCCCCATCTCAGGGGCAATAGGAATACTGATCATAAATATTAACTAGCAGCAAGGGAAAAAAAATCAAGGAGTCATTTGGAAGCCCGAGGGACATGTCTTAATGTTTGCATATTCCAGATTTATTTTCTGATGACCCAAAATAGATGCCAGTTTCATCCAGAAGTCCCATGGACATCATCAGACTTCCGGGAGGGGGGAGCATGTGGGGTTGGGAGTCATGGATCTAGTCTATTTCCACTTACTGAGCAAACTACTTGGCACACAGAGTGAGTCCGACTTGAGATCAAATCCTGGCTGGATCACTTAACTGCCTATGGGAACTTGTTACCTCTGTGAGCCTCAGTTTCCTTCAGATCTAGAAGAAGGACAATACTTATTTGGAAGGGTTGTGTGATGACTAAATAATATGTGTGTAAAATACCTAATCATGGTCTGGCCCTTGGTAGGTATTTAATAGATGGCAGTTATTATAATTTGCAAAAAATGGGTAGGGTGATGGTCTGAGTAATGTCTTACCACTGTATTAACTATTATTAGATACAGACATAAGCAGGAGAAAGTCAGCTTAGAATTCAAAAAGCTCCTTTGCATAGTCATTTTTGTTTAATGGATGTCAAATAAATGCCTAGTAATGTTTATAATGTGACCTAATACAGGCTCTGAGGGGTTTTCCAGTTCTCACTGTTAGGATTTTTTCTCATAATAGTCCCCTACTTTCCTACTTTGATGTGTCCTCCTACCCCAGGAGAGCCCCTAGCCCTCCCCACAGGAACTCTGAACAGTATCCTGCCTGAGGCACTGTGGTAAATTCTGCGATCACTTTTCCTTTGTTCTCCCCTGCCTGCCTCCCTGGCTCAGAGGTCTTGTCCTCTGGGGAGATATGTTAAGTGCCCTGCCAGCCTTCCTGTGTGCCTGGTCTGTTTTTTCTCACTGCCAGTACCTCTTGGATTCCAATTCCAAACATGGTATGCATCTGGGGTCACCCCTTCTTCCGGTGCCAAGAGAGACGCATTCCAAGTGGAACACAAGGGGGCCTCCCGTGCTGGGCTCTCCTCATTCTGGTGGGCACAACTGAGAGCAGGATGTGGCCACTTTATCCCTCACAGCTAAAGTTTTCAGCCCCAGAGTCCTAGCTTTGCCTCGGGACAATTTAGGTTTGCTGCTGAGAGCCAAATGTGAAGAAGAAACCTGGAGCCAAGGAAGCTCGCCAGAGCTCTGCGGAGAGGGCCAGAGCCTTGCTGAAGGAGACAGAGAGAGGAAAACAAGTTTAAAAATCCTCCACGAAGTGTGCTATGCTCTGCCATTTATTCCCAAAGCTCCTGGAGGCATTCCCCTCAGGAAAGGTGGAGTTGGTGGCTAGACGCCGGATGTGAGAAGACCTCCTGGGAGGACGGACTAATCCATTTTTTGAATTTCCTATGTGGGGACAGTCTTAGAGCCCCGGCAAGGCTTTGAGACGCCCCGAAGATGAGTGCTAACAGCCACGCCGTGAGCCAACTTCTCTGGCAGGGCCCCATGTGCGTTGGCTGGAAGCGGGATCTGGAAGGGGCGGTCTACCATCTGGCCAACTGCTTGTTGCTCCTGGGCTTCATGGGGGGCAGCGGGGTGTATGGATGCTTCTACCTCTTTGGCTTCCTGGGCACGGGCTACGTGTGCTGTGTGATGTGGGGCTGGTTTGATGCTTGCGGCCTGGACATCATCCTCTGGAGCTTCCTGCTGGCAATGGCCTGCCTGCTCCAGCTGGCTTACCTGATCTACCGCCTGCGCAGGAACACCCTCCCTGAGGAGTTCGAAGTCCTCTACAAGACACTGTGTCTACCCCTGCAGGTGCCTCTGCAGGTGTACAAGGAGATTGTTCACTGCTGTGAGGAGCAGGTCTTGACTTTGGCCACTGAGCAGACTTACGCGGTGGAGGGCGAGACACCCATCAACCGCCTGTCCCTGCTACTCTCTGGCCGGTAAGCTACTCAGTTATGTCTCAGCATTTCCTCCCTCTGCCCATGCTTCTCGTTTCCCAGTGTGTCCCTTTCCATTCTGAGGCCCCTTCCATTGAGGGAAGGATGTGGCAAGTCAAACAAACAAAAACGGATTTTTTTTCTAAGCATGGGTTTGGTTCCTCTTTCTTAGCATTTTCCAAGAGGAAACAAGATCATGAGATAGCTTCTCGGTTGGCAGGAAGGACTGTGTGTGCACTGGTGCTAGGAGGTGTGGGGTGAGTGTTTCTTGAGCCTGGGTCTAAAATGACCACACACATGCACACACACACGTATTACACACATCAGCAGGTCATGCTTAAGCTGCCACAATATCTCTGTAAGCTTTGAAAAAGTGAACATTACAATAAGGTTGATTTGTTCCTCCCGTATGTATTCAGTATTTCCTAAGTGCTGACTGTGTGCAGGGAACAGTGCCTATACCTTGCCAGGGCATCAAGGAAAGAGCCCCAATTATGTTGAGGATATCCTATATAGACTCTGTGGGAAAGCCATTTGGTATACAACGAGGTGGAGAGAGGGAATATTCCTTGTCCACTTTTCCATTCTCATTTGTTCTATTGAGATTCTTACAAACCAGTGATCAAGTACCAAGAAGACCACACAGTGAAGGAAGAGTAGTGATGCCCATACGTGTCTCATTGAGGATTTGGCAGAGGTACCTGGCTGATTCCTTTTAGGACGGGTGACAGCAGAAATTAGCAGAAGTGGTCTTAGTCAGGATTAGTGTATGCCCAATCAGCCTATACATGAGTGTTGGCCATTGGCTGACATCTTCTGAACAAATACCACGGGGCTCCATGCTGTACATTTGGGAGGCGGTTGTGGAATCTTTGAAATATTGCCCTAGTGGGACTTACATGTGGGGCTGAGCATCAAACAGTAAACTATGTAACCCGGTACACTTGGGCTACCTCCATAGAAAGCAAGCAAAGTATTTCAAAAGCTTTGTTCTCAGTTTCCTTCCCTGCTTTTTTGAGACCAGAAGACCGTGATAGAAAAGGTCAGATCGTAATCTTATCAGAAGGCCTGATTCCAAGGTGGGGAAAAAAGGGAGAAAAAAGTTTCAGAATGATGATGGTACTACAATGACTACTGGTAGTAGTAACGCGCATTTCTGCACTACTGTGTAGAATCAAAAGTGTTAGGTATACATGAGATTTTGTTTGGCCTCAGAGTCCTGGGTTGAATGATCTATGAGATTTTTGTGGGGAGACATTTCATTTCATTTATGAATAAATTGAAGTGTAAACAAATGGAATTATTTGTAAACAAATACATGTGTAAACAGAAGTACATTATCACTGTTGCCAAAATGTTTGCCGCCTACAGTTCCATGCTTCAAGTAAAGACAATTTGGGATGCCCGGGTGGCTCAGGTGATTAAGGCTCAGGTCATGATTCCAGGGTCCAAGGATGGAGTCCCTGCATCGGGCTCCCTGCTGAGCAGGGAGCCTGCTTCTCCCTCTCCCTCTGCCTGCCGCTCCCCCTGCTTGTGCTCTCTCTCTCTCTGACAAATAAATAAATAAAACTCTTCCAAAATAAAATAAAGACAATTTAAGAAATGTTCTCCTTCAGGAGATCCAGGATGTTATTTGCTGCCCATAGCTCTTCTGTTCAGAGGAGGGAGCTGAGACAGGTGGGGGACAGGCCCGCAGCACTTGTATGGTGTATGATTATTATATGATATTTTTAATCTATTTTTAATATGATGAATTTACCATGAATTTGTAGAAGACCTCTTCCCTGTGACGGGGAGAGGTGGGCTTGCCCCCTCAGTGTGGCTTTTCCTAGTATACTTAGCACCAAAACCTGAGCCAGAAATTAGACAGGTTTTTTTCTTCCTTGTCAAGATTTGGAGTAAGAGTTTTATTTATTATCTTTCCATGTCATCCTGTCTCAACTTTGCTAAGTTGGAGCTGGGAGAAGAGGCTTCCTGTTGTGACCAGGCTCCAGTTTTAAAGGAGAGTCATTGTACCTTGGGCTGGTAGCATTTGAGGTACCCAACACCTTAAAGGTGTACAAGAACGCTGTGCCAGGAAGTAGGGGCTTCTTGTGCGGACCTCCCCCATATCACGTGCAGGCTCTCATCTGGAGCCCTTTGCTGAAACCTCAGATGCCCTTTCTGTTCTATTTTAATATATGCAACCAGTCCCTTTTAAGACTCAGGCCAAGTGACTTCCCCAAAGTTTGTCACCTTGTTAAGCTGGAATTACTGTTGGTGAGTTTCTCTCCTACAGAACTGTCTAAGCTATTCATGTGGGAGGAAATACCTGTCATCCAGGGCATCAAGAAGGAAGGAGAGACCTAAATGATAAAGGGCATAATATACCAATGTAAATGGCTTCCGGGAGCCATGTGGGCTCATTAGATGTTATACTTTAAATGATGACACTCCTCGTAGTTTGCTCAAGTGGTCAGATCCCTTGCCTGAGGAGCTGGTAAGAGGGTCTGGTGTATCCAGCAGCAGCTTTGTTCTCTCCTGCTATTTCTCTTCCTGTATTCGAGAAGCTTTTCCTTGAGATGTTGGTCCCCTTTTATGGTGACACAAGTGAGTTCACACAATCTATTCAATCTGTTCCTTTCTTCTCTCCTTTCTCCCTCCATTCCTACCTCCTTTTCTTACTTTCCTCCTTCAAAAATATTTATTAAAAGCACTAGGGACTAAGGATCTAGTGTTAAAATATGAAAAATACTGTTCTTACTGTCTATCAAGAAAATCAATAATGCCTGACATAGTGGTGAATCACAGACATGATGTTTCCAAGGAAAAATGCAAAGGGCAGTCAGAGCATGTACCTGGTAGAGCTAACTTTTCTGGGGAGGTCAACAAAACTTCCTGGAAGAAGGAATGCTTAAGCTGAGACCTGGGGAGACAGTGGGGATTGGGAAGAGGTTCAACTAGAGGGGACAGACTATGTGGAGACCCTGAGGTAGGAGAGCATGGCACTTCCTTTTCTCTTGTATCTTTTATTACTCCGGGAAGTTTTGCCCGGCTATCTCTATGTATCACCTGGTCTTGTAGGAGCACCTGTGTTTCTGCCATCGGAGACTATGGGCTGACACCACATCCTTGGCTTGGTGTGAGAGCTACATCCCCTTCTGTCTTCCATCTTAAGTTGTCAGACAAAAGGCAATAGCTTATTAAATGGTGATGGTCTTTGGTAATTTGTATCCATGCATATATGCAGCCATGCATTGGGAGCAAGATTTGGAGCGCTAATATCCCATTTGGCCAGAACTTAATCACGTGGCTATACCTAGTTGCAAGGGAGGTAGGGAAATGCACTCTAGCTGATCAGCCACAATCCCCGCTAAAACTCTAGTACTGTGGAGGAAAGGAAAGAGCAGATAGGGGAAAACAGACTACCACGCCTCCATCTATCCCCATCCTCATCGGCTTCTCAGCTCCTATTTGTTTTTCAAAAGTCAGCTCAAATGTCATCTCTGAGAAGTCTGCCATTTGAAGAGAACTAATCTCTCTCCCTCCTCTAGTCTCCGGTTCCACAAGGGCACACACTGACTTACAGCCAGTTATGCACACGTCTGTGATTTCCACTAAATTGTGAAATCCTTAAAGACAAGGATCAGATCATACCCATCTCTGCTTTTCTAGACCTCCAGGAACACAGGAGGTACTCCATGCATGTGTATTTAGCCAGTAAAGCTCCAGGGGGAAAAAATGGAACAATAGCTCCTTCCCGATGGACAGAGTGTACCTCAGAGATCCCTTTATCTGCGCCCCCCCCCCTTTGTTTGCTAGAGACACCTCCTTTCCTGGTATAACTCAGTGTTAGAGATTGAAACTGAAACTCTTGAGTTTTCCGGGGGAAAGAGGAAAAAGCCCATATTGGATCCTAACCATTTTCCATTTCTAAATACATAATTTCGACTGAAGAGGGTTTGGGTGGCCACTTTCCTTTTCCCACACGGTCTCTTCTCTCCCTTTGCCAGGGTTCGTGTGAGCCAGGATGGGCAGTTTCTGCACTACATCTTCCCTTACCAGTTCATGGACTCTCCTGAGTGGGAATCGCTGCAGCCTTCAGAGGAGGGAGTGTTCCAGGTAATCCAGAGCCTGTGGCGGCTCTAGCCCACCCTGTCCCACTGTGAGCCAGGAATATGCCCCCCTCCAGCTTTCCCCACTCACATCTCTTCTCTGAACCACTGCCAAAGTGATGCTAGGGGTGGGAGGGCTCTCCTTCTGTGGAAAGAGGGCCTGGGCTGCCGGCAGGGGATGGAGGCAGGGAGGTGCTAACCCCTGAGAGGCCATGTCACTCCGAGGCCGAAAACTCGGGAAGACCCCCCTGACCACAACATAAAAACCCGCACTCTCTAAACACATCCCAGTGTTCTGCAATGGCCATGCTTGGCCCCTACTGCACCTTCTCTCTGAAATACATTTCCGCCCCCTCCAAATGAGGCAATGGCAGCTTACTTCCTCTGAGGCCTGTCCAGATTGACCTCATCGGCTTCTAATCCCTACAGCTTCGGGTTCCTGTCTGTGTGCCTTTCTATTCCTTTTACTTGTACTGACCGGGGTGCAGATTGCTCTCTGCTCTAACGATTTGGTTTCCTTTCCTGACTCTTTGAGGTAGAAATCTGGGCTTCCTCTTCTCTCTATTCCCAGGCTCCAAAGGACAGTACCCCGAACACAGTAGGTGTTCACTAAAGGTTTGCTGACCTGGCTTGGCAGTGGGCAGCTGGTGTCTCAGGGAACTCTATGAGGCAGTCCCTGCCATGCTCCACAGTGGGGGCCTGGCTGCTTGGCCCTGCTCTCTTCTCTGCCAGTCCTTCAAAACTTGGTTCCTTGCTTTGTAGCTCTCGCTTACTGAATGGCTACTGTGTGTCAGGCACTAAATATTATATTGCTTTATTGATTCTCACAACAACCCTCTGGGGTGGATATTATTATTATCCCATTTAACAGGTAAGGACATTGAGGTTCCAAAAAATCAAGCAGTTTGCCCAAGGTATTCATCTAGAAAGTGACAAAGTGAAGTTGCCTGGCTCTACTATTACTGTTCTTTTTTTAAAATGAGCAGGACACCAGTAGAGTGGAGTACACACACACACAGACACACACACAGACACACACACACACACACACACACACCCTATTATAGGGACTCCCCTGTCCAGATAGTTCGCTAGTACTGGGTTCTATGTGACTTGTACCACTTCTATCAGGGAGTCCCTCAAGCCAGCATAGGAACTAACCCCAGAATAGACACATGCCAGGCAGGGCCACCTGGCTGGGCCTGTTTTCTGCCCCAGCCTGACTCCTGGCTCTTGAGGACAGACCCTGCGGGGTAATCCCGATCCCACTGCTGGGCCACCAGCCCTAGGCCTCCACTGATCATGTTCCCTTCCCACCACACACACCCCCACCCTCTCCAACCAGCCCAGCAGCCCTCTATGAGAACTCCTTCAGGCCCCGAAGAACCTCCAGGAGGGCCGAGTCAGGTCCTGAGCCAGCCAGACCAGCCTGTTTCTGACACCGACACCGAGGAACAGGTGGGGGATAAGCCTGTTTGAAAGGAGAGGCTCTGCTTGAAAGGAGAGGCTCTAACCCCAGATGGCCTCTCAGCCTGGAATGTAGTTACCGTCATATTCCTCCCATTTATATTTTTAGTGCGTACCTCCTTTGGGAGCAATGAGATCCACACGTTCGTTATTGGCTATGTAAAGTCCCATTTCCTCTTTGCAAATGTCAGGTGTTGTCCTGAGTTATAGTTCATCCTGTCCTTGCCTTTTGCAATTACAGTCTTTGCAGACTAATAGGGCAATCCACCATGACTGAATCATAATTCTCCTTGTGTTTACCACAAATGAATCAATGTTCCATCACACCTCTCAGCAATCCAATTAAATAAGAACTTACTGACTATTCAGCACTGTGACCCTCTCGTTAGTCACCAAGAACATAGCATAGAAGGTATCACACAGAAATCATCATCATTTCTCCAATTTACATTGTGTCTTACTGGACCTGAGCCCTCTTTCCTTATGTTATTTCATTTAATCCATTTAACCAGCCCCCTAAAGCTTTTGGTCTGAGCAACTGGAAAGATGGAGCTGCTATCAACTGAAACAAGGGAGCCTACAGGTAGAATCAGTTAGGTGGGAAGAGAGGAAGTTCACTTTTGGATATAATAGATTTGTGTCATCTATGGACATTTCAATGGAGATGCTGCACCAGCAGTTGAATATTTGAGTCTAGAATTAAGGAATGAGGTCTGAGCCTGAGATACAGATTTGGGAGTTTTGGCATACAGATGATATTTAAAGCCATTGGATTGGATGAGATCACTCAGTGAGTGTGTTTAGAGAGAGAAAGCGTTTAAGAACGGACCAACCCTGGGATACTCTAGTGTGTAGGAGCTAGAGATCAAAAGGAAGTCTCAAAGGAGCTGCCAGGAGATTGTCCCAAGAGAGCCAGACACCCTGCGAGCCACGCAGAGAAAGCGCATCAAAGAGGAGGGAGCTTCAGCAGGGCTGACCGGGAAAACTGATGCCACACGCCATCGTAGAGGTCACTGGTGACCTTACCAGGAGCAGTGTGTGTGGACTGCAAGGGACAAAGCCTTGCTGGTTTCAGAGACAGTGAGAGGAGAGGAGCTGGAGACAGCAAGTACAGGCTACTCTTCTCCTGGAGTGTTGCTGAGAAGGGGAGTAAACTAATGAGGTGGTAGTTAGCCAAAGAAGCGAGCTGAAGGAAAAGGATTTTGATTTATTTTAAGATGGAAGGAAGTAAGATCATGTTCATAAGCATGCCCATGGTCTTTGTATTTGACATCAAGGACGTGGGTCACGTCCAGAGTGGCTCTAATACACAGCCACTTCAGGGTCAGGACTCTGATTTCTTGTTTGGGAATTGTTAGTCAGTGCGCCTCCAGCACGGGCCCTGGCAGACAGCGGCACCTCCTTGCTCAACTGCTAGGAAGGGGCAGATTGTGGGTACTACTTTCAGCATTTTCTCTCCTGAGGCAGCGTGCTCGGAGACACTTAAGTAATTTGTCGGATGCCACACAGCTGCTAAAGGGGTAAAGCTGGACCTTGCAGCCAGCTCCCAGCCTTGATGAGGTAGTTTCGGGGCCTGACTTCAGTGCTGGGGATTAGGGGGCAAGAAGCAGAGGGGAGGAAATGAGTGAAGCAAGTGGACACGGGGTACTGCAGAAGGGGAGCAGAGAGGAGGGTAGTGGGAGCTCTGGGACACAATGCAGGAATTAAAAGGATTATAGAAGATCCCTAATAAAGGTTGGTTGGAAGTCAACCCTACCTTTAGTTAGAAAATCCACATGAAGAATTGAACACAATGCCTGGCACACAGTCACCTCCTAATAAATGTTAGCTGCTGTCATCATCATTATCATCTCCGCTGTCCTCATTCACAAATCTTCATCATGAGCCCTGCTGGCCTTCTCATTTCTAAAGTATTGGGGCCATGCAGCGCCTGGGAGGCTCAGGCAGTTAATTGTCTCCTTCACCTCAGGTCACAATCCTGGAGCCCTGGGGTTGAGCCCGGTGTCGGGCTCCCTGCTCAGTGGGAAGCCTGCTTCCCCCTCTCCCTCTGCCCCTGCCCCCCCCCCATGCTCTCTCTCTCAAATAAATAAATAAAATCTTTAAAATTTTTTAAAATAAATATTGTGGCCAATCTGATTATAAAAAATTGTGATTCTACACCCTATTCCTTTACTATCCTAGTTAAACTATTCTAGTTTAAGCCTGGCTTTACCACTCCTCATTGCTTTAATAAGGATTTATCAAGCACCTGCTACGTGCCAGGCACACATTTCCTACCCTGAAAGTGTAATTTAGCTTTGCGTCATGGGCCCGCAGTGAGTGCTCAGAAATCCCCACGTGGCTAAATAAATGGAGAGTGGGGTGCCCTCGACTTTGTGCTCTTAAGAGCTCCTCTTCCTTCCTGCCCTTCTTCTGACTTTAGCCAGCGGATCTCTTTGGTTACTTGTCGTGGCCACGTCAAGAGTAGCTCCCCGGGCCTGAATTCCAGGCCAGCATTCTGCCACTTGATGCAGCTTGGCATGCCTAATCAGAAGCTCTTCTCTAACTGAATTGCTTTCCAACTTGTCCTTAATCCCTCCGGCAATATATTCTCCTTCTTTATTCTCAAAACAAACTGTCATCAGCACGCCAGCCTATGTTCAGGGCAATAGGAGGCCCTGTCTCTCTAACGAGATCATAACGGACTCAGAACCTTCCTTAGCTGTTAACGGTATCAGCCACGGGACCACAGAATGTGAGAGCTGAGGAGACTGGCCATGGAAGCTGAGGCTCCAAGGGCGTGAAGGCCCAGTGAGTGGTTGGCTGGACCCAGGGCTGCTGACAAGGACACCCTCCATATCAGTGCACACAAGTAAAAGTCATTCACTGGACCTCCTCCAGGCAAGGCCAGGGTGGGCGCTCCCACAGTTTCTTCAACAAAAGTGCAGCCGTTTGTTGAGTAACTGTGTGTTTCTCTGTGCTAAGCATGGACATTCAGTCTAATCTAAACCTTCACTCTCTTCTCCGGACCCCTCTCAGGTCACTCTGACTGCCGAGACCCCGTGTAGCTACATTTCCTGGCCCCGGAAAAGTCTCCACCTTCTTTTGACCAAAGAGCGATACATTTCCCACCTCTTCTCGGCCCTGCTGGGCTATGACATCTCAGAGAAGCTCTACGCTCTCAATGACAAGCTCTTTGCCAAGTTTGGGCTGTGCTTCGACATCCGCCTCCCCAGCCTCTACCACGTCCTGGGGCCTGCGGCCTCCGATACAGGGCCAGAGTCGGAGAAGGATGATGAGGAAGCCCGTGAACCAGCCATGCCCACATCCGCCCAGCAAACACCCCCTCGCTCTCCTCTTCCGGCTTCTGCCGGCCCCCCTGCACCTCCTTCCCGGGCCAGGATGTCCAGGCCCGACAGCGGCCTCCTGGGTGAGGACTCCACCAGTCTGGTGCTGGAGGATTTTGAGGAGGTGTCGGGATCAGAATCATTCATGGATTATAGGAGTGATGGGGAGTACATGAGGTGAGGGAGAGCTAACATGGGCACAGCCACCTGGCTCAGGACCCTGTGTAAGTACTCAGACGGCAACTGCCACGCCTTCCTGCCAACAGTTGGCCTTAACTGGGCTTGTAAGGGCAAAAAAACTCTTTCCCTGTCCTCTCAGAGGACTCCCAGAAAGTGGCATTAACCCAACCTTGCAGTAGCAACTCATTCCAGGTGCAAGCAAGGCATGAGGGGATTTTTTTTTTTAACTCATTTTTATTAAGTGTGATTGCATTTTGGAAAGTGGGCTGGTTGACATTTTGAGCAAGCGAATGGTTGTGAAATTGTTTGCAAGCTTGTGTGAAGAGTTAAGGCCATAGATAGCTAGGGCTAAAGGGGATTTTATTTGTGGCGTGCGTTTTAAAGGGGAAAAAAAAAGCTGCCATGGTTCCAATTCCTATCCGTTCTTCCTAGCGTAGAGGCAGCTCTAGAAAGCAGTCACTCTTCAGCTTGGGTTGGCAGCTAGTTCTGTTAAAATCACAAATTTCAAAGAGGCTTGTGATGTAGGCTGATCACCCTGGGAGGAAAATGTCCCACCTTGCTCTCCTCTTCCCCAGTGGAGAGTACCTTGCTTACTCAGGCAGAGGACTGGGTGCTGCTTTGTTACTCTAATCATATGGCCTGGCTTTCCCCCAAACCACACCTGTGTGAGGTAGATGGGCACTAATGTGGGAGGACCTAACAGGAAGGGCAGGATTTCCCTCACAGCTCAGGAGAATGTACTAGAAAGACTATCCTGAGTAGTTCTGGGAAATTGCTTTCATATTCCCCCTGGTTGCTCTCACAACGCTGTGACATTTTCCTCTGGGACTCCACCTAGCCATGGCGGAGGCCTGGCTTTTCCTGAGGAAAATCCCACTGTTGCCAGTTGGGAAGGCATTTCCAAGTGTGTGTGTGATGCAGGGGCCTACGAGACCCGTCATCCTTTGGGAAGCACTGACAAATTTTTCAAGAAACTAGCCCAGGGAGGAAGGTTTCCAGGGCACACAAGGTGAATGAGTGAATGTTTGTCTCTTTTGTAAAAACAAATTATGTAGATGATGACAGAGGCAGGGGAGGTGAATGATAAGAGGTTAGATGTCTTGTTTAATAGATATGGAATTCGTCGTCTCCTGCAATACCCGTCCCTAGAACCATAGTTGAGCTGATTCTGGAGTAACTCCATGGGTCTACGTAGGACTGGAGATCACCCGTTGACTTCCTCCATTTGCACTGAGCACTCTCACCGCCCCTTTGCGGTTGTGCTGATTCTCACCGTCCTGCCGGTGCGCCCCCATCCGTGCATACGGGTCACGTTCTGTGGATCCCTCTCTTTGCCCAGCACGCCTCCCCCCCCCCCCCCCCCCGTACACACTCTTCACTCCCGGTAGCTCTTGGTGTTCTCATGTTTTTTCTGGTTTCTTCTCTTTTTCTGGTTCTATTTGCTCTTTTTTCTTCCCTCTTTCTGACTTCTGCTCAGTCCTTAGTTGCCTCCATTTGCTGCTCAGGAGAAGAAGAAAGTCCTTTTCTTTTTCTTAGGTAATTTCTCTTCTCCATATTTGTCCCTTACATTTCCCCCCACTTTTATCGTTCATGTATTTCTCTATTACCTTCTTTTCCTTTTTCCCCCACTTTCCTGCCTTGCTCTTTCTCCTAAACCACCCTGCACCCTCATCTTGGTCTTTAATCCATACTCTTCCAAGATTAGTACCTCTCCCTCTGCCTGTAGATAAAACCATTCGAGTGAAGGTGTGAACATTCCCAGCCGTAGGTGGCTACACATTTCCTGCACGAGTTTTCCCAGACATTAGGAGGCACAGCATGATAAACCAGAAAGAGAGCCAGACTGGGCGCCTGCAGTCCTGGCTTCTGTGTCTGGGTCTGCTACTTTTTGCAAACCACACGACCTTTCCAAACCTCACTTTCTGTGCTTCAGTGTGTTGGACCAGCTGGACCCCAAAGGTCTTAATGAATTTATGTAAGAAGGCAATGGATGAGTTGTTCGGAAGAGGAAAAGAGAAACAGTCAGCAATATAATGGACACAGGCCCCAGGACATCCGAGTGTCTTTCAGCAAAACCCTCTGCCATATTTTACTACTATTTCTCTTGACTTGGGACTGTCCTGCTTGCTGAATGGAGGGTCCTGCTTGATTAGAAGTTCCCCCCATGCTGCACCTGTGAAGAGTCTACCCCTTACCATGTGATGACAAGTGCGGATGCTCTATGTGAAAGGAGGTCACCACTCAGTCTCAAAGCTCCTCCACCCTTAAGACTCTCATATGAAATACCTCCCTTCAAATCCAGCTTTTTCTGAACCTCGAGAGGAGAAAACTGCTCATATAACTCCTTTTCTAAAGTAGTGGTATTGGCAATATAAAGAGAGTAGGTTTTTCAATGTTTTGTTTATTTAGGTAATAGAAAGGAAAAAACATATTATTTACTTCCAAACCACAGAGTTTTGAGAGCAACTTGAAAACCTGGTCAAGTTGTACAAATTTCAGATGGCTTTCAATTCAGTCTATGATCATGGGATAATTTAAACCAGAGATCCTCTTCTGGACTTGTGTTTTGGGGTGCTTGGTTTGACTTAATTTGCCATTAGGCCCCTTCTAGGGCTATTCCTTTAATGAGTAAGCATAGTGTCTTGTGATTGGTAGCAATTTACTACTTGTCCTTTATAATGCAGGGCTCAACTCACCCTCTGTTCCCTGGCCCTGCGGTTACCAGCATTATAAGCTCAGTGCTGTTCATCCTGGCATAGCATTTACATAAGAGGCAAGAAGCTGGCTGAGTTCAGCCTCATTGAGAATGACACAGCTTCATCACAATGACACGGTGCTTGTCCCTCACACCAAGACCAGCTAAAAATAGTCTGGGCTTCCATTAGAGCACTCTTTGGAAGACGGTGCATCTTTTTTTTTTTTTTTTTAGCTTTATTCTGGTCTATATTTCTTTTTTTTAATTTTTTATTATTATGTTACGTTAATCACCATACATTACATCATTAGGTTTTGATTAGTGTTCCATGATTCATTGTTTGCATATAACACCCAGTGCTCCATTCAATATGTGCCCTCTTTAATACCGATCACCAGGCTCACCCATCCCCCCACCCCCTCCCCTCTAGAACCCTCAGTTTGTTTCTCAGAGTCCATCATCTCTCAGGGTTCGTCTCCCCCTCCGATTCCCCCCCTTCATTCTTCCCCTCCTGCTATCTTCTTTTTTTTTTTAACATATAATGTATTATTTGTTTCAGAGGTATAGGTCTGTGATTCAACAGTCTTGCACAATTCACAGCGCTCACCATAGCACATACCCTCCCCAATGTCTCTCACCCAGCCGCCCCATCCCTCCCACACCCCCCACTCCAGCAACCCTCAAGACGGTGTGCATCTTTTAATCTGGTGGTGCCCAGAATTGAATGTTGCTTCTTTTAACGGACAAAGCAGCACTGCAGCATAATGCATTCATGGAGGGTCTTCCAGTTAGACTTCCCATTAACCTGGCCTTCATAACACACTTGAATTCTGGGGACACTCTCCACAATGTTCCATTTTGTGTCTTCCTTACAGGAGATGCTCAGTGAATGCAACTCTGGAGTGAGCAATGAAGTCAGATCACAAGTGTGTTAGCACAAATTAATTGAAAGCTGTTTGAAATCTGGCCAATTTTGATTATGTTTCCAAGTTATTCTGAAAACTGTGATTTGAAAGTAGAAACCATATGTTACTGCCTTTCTCCCTATTATTAAATAAATAAGCAAGCAAATGAGAAGCAGCTTACAACATGGAGGCTAATTGTGGTCAGGGAAGGGGCACAGGACCAGGACAATAGTACCAAGGGCCGGAGAACCAATTCACCAAACATTTGAGTATCTACTGTATATTTCAGGCACTGTGCCAGGTAACTACATCATGAATGATCATGAGTAACAGTAGAAAGAATTGAAGGTGTTTAATCTGGAAGAGATGAGCAAGAGCGATAGCCCCACATTTCAAAAAGAAGGGGAATCAGAATTTGCCTCCATCTGGTGTAGTTCTTGAGGGCAAATGAGGTAAGGGCTGAAGGGCTTTGCTCAGTGTTAATAATGGGTTGCCTCATAGAGTTGTGAGTTTCTCACCATTGGAAGAGGCCAAGCAGGAAGAAGAGGGGATCTTAGAGGTCTTATAAGTTGATTCAGGCTCTGAGAGAAGAATGCCCTGGGTTATTGCTGGTAAGGTGCCTTCTAACTCTGTGACGCTATGGTTCTGTGATTCTAAGATCTGACTCTGGTTCTGCCACTCAGCCACCATAAAGAGCAGTTGCTCATCTGCAGAACAGGACTAATAGTCTCATAGATAATTAACACCTACTAATAGGTAGACAGGTAGCAGGTTGCTGTGAGGAGTAATTGAGATAATGTATACAAAAGTAGTTGGTAACTTGTAAAGTGCTGGATGAATGTGTAAGGTATTTCATGATCCTATTGTGTGTGGGATTGTCTAGCAATCTCCCTCTCCCTCTGTCAGAGGCACACGATTTTTCCTCTCATTTCCCCCCAGTCTGGCTTTCCAGGGAAGGTGGCAACTGGCAGAGGCCTCTGAGAACAAAAGGGTCAGCAAAAAGGCGGAGACCCAGAGAAAACACAGACGATGAGCTCCTCGGCCCCTGAGTAACCAACAACTGGCCAGAGCCTCACCTCTTTTCCTTCACTGGCTCAGGGGGAGACAGAACACCATCACACCATACCCACTCTATTCACACTCTACCCATCGCGTGCAATTTCTCTCTGCGGCGGCCCTCAGGTGCTGTTGTAGCTGTCAGGTTTGTTAAACAGCACTTTTCCCACAGAAACCACTGGAAAGACTCCGGGAGCGAAAAACGTGTCCTTGACCGTGGCATGGCAGGAGCTGCCCCGGGGCCTCGGGTTCTGGGTGTCTGGGTGGTAGCACCGCTCTCCCCGCCAAGGCCCCGTGTTGGGTCAGCTCGGCTGGAGCAGTGGCTCCCTCCCCGCCCCGTGGCTCACAGCAGCCTGCCGCCGCCGCCGTGCTGGCTCCCTAGTCCTCCCACTTGTGTCCTACAGGCCTCGTTCACCTACCCGTCTCTGTGTGAAAGTAAAAGACGGGGACCTTATCAAACTCATCATTTTGCCACACAGATTTTTTGGAAACTCATTCAGTAGTGCCAAATAGGAAGAAGAGTTCTGTAGATTTTTCGTAGGAAGCACCAGGAGTTGATCTCTTGGTCTCTTCCCCTATAAAACGAGAGGTTGGGCTAAATAACTTCAAAGCTGGTTTCTAGAATGAAATGATTCAAGGATACAACTGCCCCTACCATGTCAGGCCTTGGGTCCAGCTAAAACAGTGGGAATTAGCAGAAGAAGATAAAACAGAAAAGAACACTGGGAAGTGAAGCAAGCTAGCTGGAGCCACAGTGCTGAAATCCTGCCTCTTTTTCTTTCCACAGCTTCTAGAACTCCTCTCCATAGTTACTCTCAAGTTATGTCCAGGGGACAGGCCCCCTTGGCTCCAACCCACACTCCTGAACTTTAAGGATCCACAGGCTACCTTTTTCTCCGGCCACACGAATCTTCACAGAGGGGTCACCTGAGTGCACACCCCGTCTTACCCACTAGAAGGCTCCTGGGCCAGGTCGGAGCAGACCCAGGAGACGCCGGTGCTATAGCTACGCCAAGGGCCCCCAGCAGCTTGTGCCGATTTGCCCTCACCAGCATTCCTTCCAGAAGAAGGCACCCAAAAATGCAAAAGCACTGATTGCATCCTTCACTAACTGCAGAATCTTGGGCAAGTTCCAGAGGCTCTCTGAGCCTCTCCTGTAAAGTTGGGACTTATAAAACCCATCTCACAGGGTTGTTGTGAGCATCGAATGAGATGACTTAGGTAACGCACCTCAGACATGGCGTGGCACCTCGTAAGCACTCAATAAATCACTCGGGCTTTTTTCCCTTGTTGTTTCTTGGAACTGTCTGAAAGGGTCTCTGAAGTCAGCTAGCCAAGAAGTTTTCACGGTTTGCTAGTTTGTTTGTTGTTTTTTCCAGTTAGATTCAATTTATGGAAGTAGAAATTTAAAAACCTAGTTTTCCCTTAAGCTTTTAAGTTCAACTTACAAATCTCTTGTTCTGTTTAGGACCCTAGCATTAAACAATAGTTTTTAGGGGGACTTTAACAAACTCAGTTAATTAAATTTCCTTAAATATTTTAAAGTGGGTTTATACATTTAACACATTCTATTTTACTTTTTCCAACATATATTCCAGTTATCCATTGTTGTGTAACATTCATACCTGAAATGGTGACTTCCATAGTTTATTTTGCTGATGCATGTGGGGCTTGACTGGGCCCCGCTGGGCTATTCTCACTCAAGGTCTCTCATGCTGTCATGTTCAGATGGTGGCTTGGGCTAGAGTCATCTCCAAGACTTCTTCACTCATGTTTGGGGCCTAATCTGGGGACACTCAAACAGCTGAGGACCGAAACAGCTGGGAGTCCTGGGGCATCTCTCTCTCTCTCTCTCTTTCTCTCTCTCAATAGTTTGTTCATTGTGTTGCTGTTTGCAAAATTGCTGTTGCAGTTACTTGTTACATGAATATACCATAATTTATTTGTCAATTCTACTGTTGATGGGCATTTGGGTTGTTTCTAGCTTGGGGTGATTATGAGTAGTACTGGTATAAGCACTCTTGAATGCATTTCTTGGTACACATATGTGTACATTTCTGCGGCATATACCTAAGACTGAAATTACTCAAGTATTGGGTACGTGTATGTTCAACTACAGTAAATACTGCCAAACAGTTCCCTAAGTGATTGTACCAATTAATATTTCCACCAGCAGTATGTGAGAGTTCTAGATGTTTCTCATCCTCCCAATGGTTGACCCTTGTCATTTTAAAAAAATATTTTAGCCATTTGGGTGTAGGTAACAGCATATTGTTGTGGTTTTAATTTTCATCTCCCTGAAGAGTAATAAGGTTGAGTATTTTTTCATGTTTTTATTAGCCGTATAGATACCCTCTATTGTGAAGTGTCTATTCTTATTCTTACCCATTTCTCTATTTGTTTGTATGCTTTTGCTTATCGACTTAAAATAATTCTTCAAATATTCAAGTTAAAAGTCCTTCATTGCTTATATATATTATATGTATTCAAATTTATTCTCCCACTTTGTGAATCTTCTCTTTTTCTCTAAATCATGTCATTTGATGAACATGTTCTTTTTTTAAAGTTTTATTTATTTATTCATTTATTTGAGAGAGAGAGCACGAGTGAAGGAGGAGCAGAGGGAAAGAATCTCAAGCAGACTCCCCACTGAGCATGGAGCCCAACACAGGGCTCGATCCCATGACCCATGAGATCATGACCTGAACCGAAATCACCAGTCAGACACTTAACCGACTGAGCCACCCAGACACTCCTGAACATGTGTTCTTAATTTCAATGTAGTAATTTATCAATCTTTTTCTCTATCATTCATCCTTTCTGTGTCATGTTCAAAAAATCTTTTCTTCCCCTGAAGATATTCTTCTATGTTACCCTCTAGATGTTTTATTGTTTTACATTTCACAGAGCTACAATCAACATGGATTTGATTTTTGTGTATGGTATGAAGTAAGATTAAATTATTTTCCAGTGGATATCCAATAGACGGAGCACTATTTACTGAAATAATGATCCTATCCCCACTAGTGTCCAGTGTCCTCTTTGTTATAAATCAAATGTTTATATAATGTATTAATTCTAATCATCAATCCATAGAGTCTTCAGGATTTTCCATAGATTCAAATAAATCATCTGTAAATAATGATGGTTTTATTCCTTCCTTCCTAACCTATATCTTCCGCCCACCCCCTTCTCCTCCTTTTACTTTTGATGCCTGTTGTGCTGGGTAGGACCTCTGGTAGAGGGATGAATGGAAGGGATAATGAAGACATTCTTCTCTCATACCTGACCTTAAGGAAAATGTTTTCAATATTTTACCATTAAGTATGATGTGTGTTATAATACCCCTATCAGATTAAAGAAGTTCTATTCCTAATTTGCTGAGGGTTTTTTTTTTAATCATGGATGAGTATTGAATTGTATTAAATGATTTTCTGCATTTATTGCGATTATTTTTCTCCCTCCTTCTGTTAATGAATTACATTAATAGACATGTGACTATTAAAATAACCTTGCATCCTGGAGTAAATCCAATTGTATTAAATTGTATTTTCCTCTTTGCCTATTCTGAACTTAGTTTGCAAATATTTTTTTAAGGAATTTTAAATCTATGTATTTTGTAATATCATTGTCAGGTTTGATATCAGGGTTATGCTGACTTCGTAAAAGGAGTTAGGAAGTATTTTCTCTCTTCTTTCCTATTCTTTGGAAGAGATCTTTAAACCAAGCAGCCTTATAACTCTTGAGTACCACCCCAACAACCTTACCTCCTACTCTATCTTCTTTCCACTCAGTTGCCCAAGCCCAAAACCTTGGAGTCTTTCCATCCACCTTAGTCTTATCTTCAAAATGTATCCTGAATTCACTTCACCACCTTTACTGCCACCACCAATTTCAAGCTACCATTATTTCATACCTAAATTAACTTCAATAGACTTAAAACAGGTCCCCTGATTTCTCCTGTTTCTCCTCCCCATAATCTATTGTACAAACAGCAAAGTGGCCATTTAAACATGTATATGATCTCATCACTCTCTTGCTCAAAATTTCAAATGGCTTCCAATTATACTTAGAATAAAATCTAAACCTCTTACCATGTGATATTAGGATCGGTTTATTATGACTTAATAGCACAAAGGTTTTTTTCTCTCTTAAAGTCTACTGAGAGTCTGCATGACTCATGAGGGTAACTGTCATCATGTTGCAACTCAGTGATTCAATCTACTTTGACCTTCTGGCTCTGTCACCTGAAGAAAGAAACAGTTTGACGTTCTGGTGCTAGCTTTTCGATGCTGTGGCCCCGAAAGGATACGTACCAATCACTTCTGCCCAGAGTCCATTGACTAAAGGCAGTCACATGGACCCACTTAATAATCAGCTTTGTGCTTTGTTGATTAAAGAGACTGGGAAATGGGGGGGAAGCAAAAGACATGATTGGTGAGTCCTTTTCTTCTGGCCACTTATAAGCCAGAAAGCCCTACCTGCCTGTCCTTCAGCCATTTTACATTCTGATCTCATTCTTATGTAACATGTTTCAGCCATACTGTTCTTTTGGGTGCCTGTTAGGCATACTTAGCTGCTTTCTATATTAGGGCCTTTACAGATGCTTTTTCTCTCTGAAATGCTTTTCCCTCATAACTTCTCCTGGCTGACTTCTTCTGGCCATTCCATTCTCAGCCCCTGTCACCATTCCAGCTAAGATACCCACTCACCTCACCATCACCTTCTGTCCCCTTGTTCTGCTTGGACTCTCTTCAGAATCTTGTTTTCTCCTTCTTCTCCTTTTGGGATTTCAATTATGTGCTTGATAGAGCTGTGTGCCAGTGTGTTCCACAGAGCTCTTACCTTCCTTTCTCATTTTTTTTTCTGAAATTACACTGTGTATTTCTTTTCTTGTTTGATTTCTGTCTCATCCCCACATATTTCATAATATATTTCTCCCCTGTCTATTTTGAGAAATTTGATGGCTCTCTTGTCAACCCTTGAGGGCTACTGTGGAGAATAAATGAAGCAATAAACAAACAACAAAAAAGCTCATACATTGTAAACTGAGACTCAGTGTTATCTGGGATATGGTGCCACCCCTAAGCTAGAGGACCACCCAGGCAGGGCTATTGTTACATGTGGTGCATACCAGAGGCTTCACAGAATGGGAACTTCTTTTAATGTGTGTGTCTTTGGTTTTTGTTTTGTTTTGTTTTAAAGATTTTATTTATTTGAGAGAGTGAGCGCATGAGAGAGGAGGAACAGAGGAAGAGAGACAAGCAGACTCTGTGCTGATTACGGAGCCTGATGCAGGGCTTGATCCCAGGACTCCGAGATCATGACCTGAGCCAAAATCAGGAGTTGGTCGCTTAACCTGACTGAGCCACCCAGGCGCCCTGTCTTTGTTTTTAAAAGGAACAGACCTTACCTGGTATAAGTTGTGCTTTTATTATCTAATGATATATGTAATGGCAAAAGATATCTGGATTCCTATAAGGTTTTTAGGTAAATTTGTGGATTTTTAAAATTCGCCACAATGGTATCTTTATGTATTTGAAATCTAGCATGACATGTTGGTACAAAGTATCTTATTTACTCAGTCTATGGAAATTCTTTTCTTTTTTTTTAAGATTTTATTTATTTATTTGACAGAGAGAGAGACAGCGGGAGAGGGAACACAAGCAGGGGGAGCGGGAGAGGGAGAAGCAGGCCTCCCACCCAGCAGGGAGCCCGGTGTGGGGCTCGATCCCAGGACCCTGGGATCATGACCTGAGCCGAAGGCAGATGCCTAACCAACTGAGCCACCCAGGCGCCCCTCTATGGAAAATTCTTGACATGATATAGATTTGTGAATCTCCTACACTAACCCCACAATAGAGGTTACACATGTGAAAAGAAAATCTTTGGGGTAGGGGCGCCTGGGTGGCTCAGTTGGTTAAGCGACTGCCTTCGGCTCAGGTCATGATCCTGGAGTCTCGGGATCGAGTCCCGCATCGGGCTTCCTGCTCGGCAGGGAGTCTGCTTCTCCCGCTGACCCTCTTTCCCTCTCGTGCTTTCTATCTCTCATTCTCTCTCTCTCTCTCAAATAAATAAATAAAATCTTTAAAAAAAAAAAAAAGAAAATCTTTGGGGTATAGCTTAATATTTTCAGCAATAAAATCTGACATATAGTCAGATTTGCTCTAAGGAGAAGATAGTAAATACTTTTTTTATCTCATGAATACTTATTAAATATCCACTTGTTGTCAAACACTATTCTGGACACCACATACTTCAACAGGTGAATCATTCAGGGTATCTGTCCTGAAGGAGCTTGAGCTCTAGCAAAGGAGAGACATGAATCATAGGCACCCTGTCCCCTCCCCACCAAGGCCTGACTCCTCTGAGGATTAATCTTTTCACAGAAGACTCCTCAGTTCCTGTGTAAATAGGCTTCTTGTGGCCCATAAATAGTTTAAGATGTAGCTGGATCCCTGACGTACATACAAATAAGCACTATGTCACTCCATTGTGGAAAACATTACAGTAGCGGCTGAAACCACTATATGACCTACAGAAGTTCAGCAGAAGATACCACTTCCTATTTCTGGAATCAGGAAGGATTCATGATGAAGCTGACTTTGAGCCGTGCCTTCCAGGACAGAGTTAGGCAAGGCAGAAGCAATCCAGGGGAAAGAAATACCTGAGTCAAAGACCCAAGGCTGGAAGGTACAAGAAAAGCATGGCTAGAGAAGAGAACCAGTGGTTCTTAGTGACCAGCTGTGGTATCTGAGCTCTAATCAAAAGGCAATAGGAAGTGAGCAGGAAAATGGTGCATCCCAGAGCAGTGCTGAGGGAAGTTGCGTTGAGTGCATACCACAGAGCCTGGCAGAGTATAGCTGTTTCATAAACGTTCACGTTCTGAGAGACTTGAGAATATAAAGCCAGGAGAACAGTGTTGGCCATTGAAATGGTCAGTGAGGTTGTGAGGTACCAAGGGCCAGAATGTAGGATGGCGATGGCAACAGAGAGGCAGACACCTGAGAGATAGCCTGGGGAGAATTGCTTGGGAGAGGGGTCAAATCCATCTTAGAGGTTCTGCATCTTCTTCCCTATATATTCTTGACACCCTGGTTTCCTGTAGACTCCCCTACAAATCTTGACTGAAAAATGTGAACAATGCTCTCAGGGGTTTCACTTCTAATTGTCATGGAATTCATACACTGACACATGTCTCCCACTCAGAAATTTCCCTAGAGATCATGGGATTTTATTTCACTTTTAGTTCACTTCTCTGACGTGATCCTTTTTTTTTTTTAATTTATTTATTTGACAGAGACACAGTGAGAGAGGAACACAAGCTGGGGGAGTGGGAGAGGGAGAAGCAGGCTTCCCACAGAGCAGGGAGCCCGATGCGGGGCTCGATCCCAGGACTCTGGGATCATGACCTGAGCTGAAGGCAGTCGCTTAACCGACTGAGCCACCCAGGCGCCCCTTCTGACGTGA